GCGTGCGCATCCCAAAAAGGTATATGCTCACTGGCAAATCTTAACTTTATTTATCCTCTATTTTCCCACTAATTATTATTTAATACACAATTTTTTTTTTCTAACAGTTGTACCGCTTTACTCCATTTGTTGGTAAAAATCATTCGAGAAGGTTTTTAGACACATACGGGCAAAAGTCTAATTAACTAGCAGAACAGGGCGAACTCATCGAACGTGACCGCGAAATGGGGAACTCAGGCGCAATTGAAGTGGTTTCTATAGCAAACAAATCTTGGCAAACTTGTCAGCATAGCGCAAGGTTGGGATAAAACGAAAATTAAACGAGCTAACGAAAAAGCGCCCAGAAACTCTGCGTCTTGAGCGTTTCGTTCTCAGGCTCCGCTCCGCGCCGCGATCCCTCAACTTGATCATCGCCACGTATCCTGCCTCTAGGGCCAGCCAAAGGCCTGAAACGTCACATTTGTGAGCCGTTCCGCTTTGCCGTTTTTTTCTACTACTGCTACGACCTTAAGTCACAATGTCTTGCATTCGCATCCTTTCGCAAACTTCGAAGGATACATCGGAGCAGAAGGCTTCTGGTCGGAAAAGTTGAGAGGAAAAGCTTGGGAAGTGGCCGCTCACCATCAAGAGTTTGTTTAAAATCTGGAGAATGGCTAGACATTTTGAGCAAAACAAAAACTTTGCGGTCTGAGGCCATTTTTTGTTCGGCGTGATCAGGTTGTGTCTCAACCAACTAACAGAAAATAAACTGAAACAGCGGCAGGACGACTAGGAGCCGCAATCTAAATCTGATGGAACTATATCGGATTTGGCCTCGGCTCTTGGTTTTGAATTAACCCCCTTTAATTATACTTGCGTGGGCACACTTTTTCAATAAATCTAAAGGATGGAGGACGGTAGCATCACTGTCCACAAGACGTCTGTTTTGGGGGGGATCGCCCCTGTCTCATTGGGGTATATATGTCGTCCCACATCGCGGTAGCTAGATCACACCGGTTTGAGGTATGGACAGAAAGCGCCCGCGCATTGAATGGAGCAATCAGGCGAAAGGAAACTTCATTTCTTGCTCTGACAACAACCTTCCCAAGCCTGGCTTCTAGCCCGAATAGCCCAAAAAACATATAATTAGCACTGGGGGAGAAAATCTAAATTGAACTCTCCTAATCACTTAAAGCGCTCTAGCGCGGTCATAGTCAGGCGTGTATTTTCAAAAAAAAAAAAAAAAACTTCGAATTTTTTAACACCATAACGGACCCCCGTGCCGGGCGCACCTTGGTGGCGCAACGACTATATACTTTGTGCTTAGAATCTTCTAGCCATCTATAATATTCCATATAGGTATCAGCAACTGGAAACCATATCTTCCCCTCAGACAATGACGCTGGATTTTGGGGCAAAGCCTACAAATAAAACCTACATACCCTTTCTTAATTTACATAATTTATATTTGACTGGTTGGGCTAACGCCATGTCGCACGTCCGAAGACCACTTCCCCTAAAATATAGCCACATCCTTGCTCGGGGTTGTTGTTTCGCATTTTTCGATAATGTCCATCCTACAGCTTCCATTCATTCTTTGCACCCTAGTTTTAGAGCGGAGAGGAAGGCTACGAACTTGTCGTCAACGGAAATCTCTTTTTGGGGGGATGATGAGACTCCGACACCTAGTTTAGCCCCGTCTTACCCCTTGCTGTTCACATAAGCCTACATAAACCCTACCCTGGGTGGCGGCGTGCGCCACATGGTGGCGCACGCACAAAATACACTGGCCGTCCGTAAGGTACTAATTTGTTGTTTGTAATTGTAGAATTGTGTTTTGAAAATTCGTGTGAGATACAGAGGCGTGGCTCTCCGCGGCGCCCAGATGCCCGCGATCAAATATCCATGCACCATTCCTGGCCTCACTCAGCTAATTAGCGATAATATGATTATTGCACAGCAAAAATAGTTACATGGGGGCTTCAAACACATTGATCATCTTTATTCCAGAAGTCTATTTGAAGGAATTAAAAAGCTCGTTTCCACGTTAGAATGTTCGATTGCGACTCGACCCATACGTGTTCGGCGGACCTAATGAAGCGACTGGAATCGGGTAATGATGTACAGTGACTTTTCGTTCCCTATATTCTGGCGTCATCTAGCCACTTATAGCTACAACATACATATAAGTTTGCAAACAACGCCCCGGCTAGGGCGAGAATAAAGTGCGGACTTTACGCGCGCTATACACGTAATTTTTTGATCTCGTTTGAGCTTACTATAACCATAAAAACAGTGGAGTAACCACGCAGCCATAAAATTCGAACTGGCATAAATAAGATCAGGAAGTGCTACCCACTTTCTAAACCTTCGCAGCCTCTGCAACAAAACAAGATTCACCAGCATCCTTTACTATCTTTGCCAATATTAACGATTAGCTGCGGTGACAACGGGCGATGACATAGTAACATTTACTCAGCTTGAAGGTTTCTAATACTGAGTCGCCATTGTTCTCGGAAATTGGGAATGTTCCAATGCAATAAAGCTGTGGTCCTAACAAGTTACTGACTCATTCGGAATGTAGTTCTCCCACCGTGTCTGTAGGGCATATATTTTCTTTGTAGTGTTGATTTTTGTTCAGTGCAAGGATTTGCTGTTCATAATTTCTACTGATGTGCTTATATGCGATATAAATGACTTGAACGCCTTTTGGAAGTTGTGTGGTATGTTTTTTTGCTGTAGCATTGGCGTCGGTGTCTTAAATTTGTGGGTTCGAGGCCTATTTTCATTGTTCTGTTACTGTCTCACTCGTATCATTGTAATCTTATAGGGAATGACAGAGCAGTTTGTAGAGGGAACACACGATCAAACGGAATCTTGAAAAGGGAGGTTCTCCTCATTGCATGCAATGACTGACTCCCTGCCGACAATGGCGAGATTAGCCTTTCAGGCCGCGCTGGGCGCACGCGACGCTTCGCGACAATGTACGGCGACCTTAAACCTTACCTAAGTGGAAGTCAGAAAGACATTGTTTCACAGGAGCGCAAATTTCACTGATTGCTAACGAACGGCCTGGGAATGGATTGTTTTTGCGAGCAGTGCGTGGGCTAAAATTGTGGGCGAGGCAGTTTCACGCACCATTGTTCTTTATAGGGAATGACAGACGGTTTGTTAGAGGGGACACGATCATAAGGGAACTTGAAATAGTGAGGTATTCTCCTTCATTTGATGCATGACTTGACTCACTGACGACATGGCGAGATTTGGCTTTTCTGGCCGCGTGGGACGACGCGACTTCGCGACCACGGCGACCTAACCTTACCTAGGTGGAAATCAGAAAACAGTGGATAGAAATGAATCATATCGGAAATGTTCAGTGTGTAGAAGTTATATGGAACCATAATAAAGAATTTTGATCCAAGTGACGTTAAATATCAACAAAAAAAACAATATTTATTGACCTGGGAATTGCAAAATTCCATCCGTGGGGATTCGAGTGGTTACCAAATAGGTGAACTGTATGAAACAATGAACAACAATAATGAAACAGTATGAATCCTCTTTAACTGAGGCCTTTGACCTCAAAGGCCTTGAACTTCACCAGAGTCAAGATTTCGAACGTTTTTTCTTTGTAAGTGATGCGCCAGGAGGAAGATCTTGAACACTCGAACATTTCGAACGCTCCAATTTTGCATTTACATCATCCTCGATACATCCTCTCAAAAGCGAAAACAGCGATAAGAAAACAGCGCTTTTTCATACAAACATTTCATACAACATAACAACATCTGAATTAATGATAAGCAGCTAAAATTGGTCAGCCACCCGTGAGCGTTGTGCACGAGTTAGATTTTCGCATCCCTGCGTTTTTGCAAAGCATCGCTGAAGATCGGCTAGGCCCCTTGAATGAAATTTAGGATGGTATATATTTTGACGCCGTGCATTTCTTGAATGTGCGCGGTAATTAAATTCTCACGATAACCAAAATCATTTGCCACCTTCCAAGGTTTTTGAGTACGCCCGAAACAATGGCTGTTGTGGCTATCCATGAGAAATCCGATCAAGTCGTATATTTGGAAATTCAGGGGTGATATAATCGGGTACCCCCCCCCCCAGGAGGCCCGTCGCGCGGCAAGAAGGCAAAGTCAGCGGACGAGTCGCGCGCGTACTAGGGATTTCGCGTCAAGTTAAATAGAGTGTCCCATGCACGTCCTACATCGCACACCACGCGCTGCAACTCGTCCGCCGACTCTGCCTTCTTGCCGCGCGACGGGCCTCCTGGGGGGTACCCGATATAGTCAGTAGACAGGCAGGTATTAAACTTGAAATAAGTTTTGGGACTGGGTCAAAATGCAAAATTTGTTGGTTGGAACTATTCAAAAACTATATAGCAACATCGGTCAGAGTGTGCCCCAACGGAATAAACACAATTTTGTCACTTTCCCGGCAACGAATCAAAACCTCTCCGAAAAAATTCGCTCCAATCACTGCATCGCTGTTGATTTCCATGGACGTACGGATCGGGGCTGGTCGTTCAAGTCAGTGTTGTCATCCCGGAATTCAGCAAGCCATCGAATCGCCAATCGCTCTTGACACAACTTGACCTTTTGCACGATTGATTTTTCGAATAGCCTTTTCAGCATCGTGATCCGATTAAAACTCGTAGGCAGCAAGTTGCGAGTAACTTTTTTTGATAGAGCCAGAGTCGTGACGAACAAGTACAATTCATAACATGAGATGCGCAAGAATTAAACTAATAAAAATAAAATTTAAACTGAAATGGTGCTAGAAAATGAATGTTCAACATTTTTTGATACAGTCTCAAAACTTATTGGAAGACCTGATATCATACCGCTTTCTAGATGCAACAAGTGATACTGTAACTATAGCTACAGTACCTCAGGTACATAGACGATGGGAATTTTTGCGATGTTTAAATTACTCATTTTTCAGTGACCAAGCCTAACAAGAAAATCACAAGTCGCTTGACGTGGTGTCACAACAGTCTGCTTCCAATTGTTATGCGACACTGTCTTGCTGCTAGTCATTTCACGGTAACTTGCTTCTACTTAGATCATTCCTTTGCAGCTTGCGTCATAATGTGCTTCTTTTTTACTTAATTTTCCCATTTTTACTATTTTTATTCTTATTATACAAATTTTACTATTTCTTTATTATTTTGCTATTTTACTTTTTTTTACTTATTAATATGAATTAATCATCGTTAAGATTGTCGACGAGTCGCTTTTCTACATTGGATACTGGGGTCGTCATCTGAAAAGCAGTCAGTATCGCACATTAAAACCCTATCAAAAGGTATACTTTCAAGTGTTTTTTTTGCCGCTTGCCATAACATGTGGCCAAAAAAATCAACATTAATAACATAGTCCTTCATATGTTTTGTGTAGCACTCAACATTTGACAACTTATTTGTGTAAGAATCTATCTAACTATTTGGTAACTTTTCTAATTATCTGTCCTTTATCTTTTCTGTAGTTAAAGCCATATGACATTGTATATGACATGCTTTTGTTGCTTAGCATTCTCTCGGCCTTTTTTTCGAGACAATCGTTCATAGATGTGGCAGGGGTAACCGTGATGGGGTATCTGAAAAGAGGCCTGTCGCGCTGCAAGAAGGCAGAGTCAGCGGATGAGTCGCACGTGTGTTGTGCGATGTAGGACGTACAATGGTACATTGTCTTTAACACATTGCGGACCGCCGTTGTATGAGTACCTTCGTATATTTTTTATATTTTTCAAAAATGTATCATCATTAATCTATTTTATCAGTGATGACACGTATGGTTTCCCGGCTCTGAAAATGAGTGCAAACAGTTCAGAGCATTGAAAAATGTCAAATAAATCAGATAAAACTATGCTGTTTCGTGCGAAATCGTGCGCCACATGGTGGCGCACGCGGTACGCAATGTGTTAAATTGTCGCGAAATTACTACGGTACGCGCTGCAACTCGTCCGCTGACTCTACCTACTTGCCGCGCGACTGGCCTCCTGTCGGGTACCCGTCGTGGTGCCCACTACTGACGCTTTTTTGAACTCCTCACATATGGACGGGAGTGTCAACTGAAAGCCAATTCGTTAATAATGACAGGTAACTCATGCAGTCACTGTTAACGCTAGCGGTTGCACGGAGCAGAAATCTGCATGATTAAAAAAATTAATTTTGTGTTTTGAAACTATTGTTTATGAAGAGGCTGCAGTGCTCTCGTATATACAAGTAATGTTACCTTTTACTTCTAAACGGAAGAAGAAAAATTTGATTTTTAGGTAGCAGGTTTTCTTTGTTTTTTTTTCTGAAGAATCAAAAGTTTTCTCTTATAAGCCCTATTCCACGAACTGCGTAGTTATCCATAACACTGCCAACCTTCACACACTCTGTTGAAATTCCCGTTGTTTTGTCAACACTTCGTTATACAAAATGAGGGAATCCTGGTAGAGATCTTTTGGATGAGTAATCAATAAACGCGGATGTAAAGAAAGCATAAGGTCAGGTTCATATTCCGCTCGAGACCGAATATGCTTGTACATTACGCAACATTAATGTAATGAAAATTGTATTGCGAACCCCAAAAAAAGAACTCAAGTCGAACTAAGCCGTAATTTATTTCCCAGCTTTTCAGAGCTTCCTTAAATCCGGCGCAGCAAAGCTGATGCGTCATATTTTTCGAGCTAGTTGTTCTTCTTTCTTAGAATCAAAGAATGGCAAAGCGAGAAGCTAAAAATTGCCCTTACTCCATAGTGTAAAAGTCGTTGTAAGAAATCGGAGCAAGAAAGTGTTTTAAAGCTGGTGCTTGCGATTTTTGCGCTATGAGTACCTGAAGTGTGCGCTGTACTTCACAGATCTTCACAGATACGATTATTGTTTAGGTGAATCACTATCCAGGAGCTTTCCATATTGGTCGAAAGGATCGTCTATGGATGCATATCGAGAAACAGCAGCGACGCTTTGGCGAGAAGGTCTACGGCATCATGCCAAAGACATACTTGCTTCCGAAGGACTACGAACAGATGCGGGAATACCTCGCTGCCTCGCCGTCCAATCACGTCATCATCAAACCGGTATGTTCTAGAGAATCTCATGTGTAACCATTCCATTCGATACCGTACTTATGGTTAGTAGACAATAAGGAAGGATCTATAAGAAAGTGTATTATAATTTAAACTCATTCAGTCGTCAAATATTTTCTCCGATTGTGTTTCTGGAAACAAATAATGGATTAGCCCGGAAATATGAGTTCATAGTTTTTTCCTCAGCAGAAGCAAAAGGCAACAAAGACGGCACTTAACACGTAAATCCAACCGATAATGCTTGGCATTATTCTGCGGTGAACTGTATAAAAAACTAGTTATCAGCTCTAAAATCTTTACTCCCCAAATATGTGCTTGGTTAGGGCGAAAGGAACTTCCGAGTATTTTTCTTGATATGCTGATAGAAATCCAGTTCGAATTATCTGATTTTGACTCGTTCTTCTCTTTTGTATACTCTACACTGATTGACAGTCTGCGCTGATTTTTGACTCTTTTTATGGCATCGGGAAATGCGTCAAATATTGCGAGCTGGAAATGTAAACAATGAGACGTGCATGATGTGGCTTTAGTCGCTGTATGTAAGCAACGTTTTGTTCACAGGCACATTCCGCGCTAATAAAAACAAGGTAAATAGCACATCACACCTAGCCTAGGTCTCCCGCCGCGTGGTCAAAGGCGGTAATTAGAAAATTTGATGTTGATCAAATACGAAATAAGTGCGATAAAGTGGGAGCTTTCAAGAAAGCGT